CTAATGCAGATCACTGTGTGTTTGTCAAGAAATTTTCAGGTGATAAAATCATTATCCTTTTGTTATATGTAGATGATATGTTGATAGTGGGACAGAATATGAAGCTGATTGGTGATCTGAAGAAGGATTTAACAAAGTCCTTTGAGATGAAGGACTTGGGCCCTGCGAAACAAATTTTGGGCATGCAGATCATGCGAGACCGAAAATTCAAGAGGTTATGGTTATCGCAAGAACGGTATGTAAATCGGATTCTGGAGAGATTCAACATGAAATCGGCTAAACCGGTCAATACACCGTTGGCCAATCACTTCAAACTCAGCAAACGAAATTGTCCTACGAGTCAAGAAGAAAAAGAAGCTATGGCGGGTGTTCCATACTCCTCTGCAGTCGGGATTTTGATGTATGCCATGGTTTGTACAAGACCAGACATCGCTCACGCGGTTGGAATTGTTAGCAGGTATCTTTCCAATCCCGGGAAGGATCATTGGGAAGCTGTGAAGTGGATCATGAGGTACCTAAAAGGCAGTGCAAATAAGTCCTTGAGCTTCGGCAAAGGAAACCCAGTTCTTGAAGGTTATACAGATGCGGATATGGCAGGTGACCTTGATAGTAGAAAGTCTACTTCGGGGTTTGTGTTTACATTTGCAGGGGGAGCTGTATCTTGGCAATCTAAATTGCAGAAATCTGTTGCCTTGTCGACTACTGAAGCAGAGTATATTGCTATGATAGAAGCAGGCAAAGAAATGCTTTGGTTGAAGAGGTTTCTTCAACAATTGGGAATGAAGCAGGAAAGGTACGATATCCATTGCGATAGTCAAAGCGCATTGGATTTGAGTAAGAATGCAATGTACCACTCTCGCATGAAGCACATTGATGTCAGATATCATTGGCTACGTCAAGTAGTGGAAGAACAACAGTTCAAGTTGGAAAAGATTCACACTGACGAGAATCCTGCTGACATGATGACAAAAGTTGTAACAGGAGGAAAGCTTCAGCTTTGTGCCGAGTTGATCGGCATGGAATGCATGTGAAGAATTGCAGAATATTTCCCTTTGGCTGGAGGGGGAGAATTGTCAGAATCAAGCCACATGAAAAGAAAAGATTCCATCCACAACAAAACAAAAGCCAACAATTTTTTTAAAATAAAAAAAAAAAATCCAGCAAATGAGATGCCAAAGTGAGTTGTCATTTTTGGACAAATTGAAGCAATCTTCAGTATAAATAGCAGCATTCGGAAGAAGAGAAATGCACCAAGGAGCAGAAAGAAAAAGAGAGAAGAAATAACATCTTGTGAGTGTTATTTTTCAGTGAGATAAAAATAGAGTGTTTGAGTAAATCCTGTGAGTGAGAGAAAAATACACCGGGTTGGGTATCAACTCTATTACTCTTTGTTTAGGAGTGGGGTTCTCACTGGGTCACTATATTTTACATTTCTAGTGTAAGGGAGTGTGAAAAGATATTGTAATTATCTTGAAAATATAGTGGAATTGTTCGGAGGTTGTCCCGTGGTTTTTTCCTCTATTTGGAGGTTTTCCACGTTAAATCTTGGTGTCTTATTTCTTGCATATTTTATTTATTTGGGATATTCTTAGTATGCTCTGTGGTCGCAGTTTAATCTGAACTTCCACATCAGAAAAGAATTATTCTGGTATTATTGCAAGAGATTTTCTTTTGTCATTCTTGAGTTGCTGGGATTGGTATTATTATTCA